TAGTTGATATATTTAAACAGCTGGAGAAGAAGGGTTGATATAGTTGATATATTTAAACAGCTGGAGAAGAAGGGTTGATATAGTTGATATATTTAAACAGCTGGAGAAGAAGGGTTGATAAAGTTGATATATTGAAACAGCTGGAGAAGAAGGATTGATATAGTTGATATATTTAAACAGCTGGAGAAGAAGGGTTGATATCGTTGATATATTTAAACAGCTGGAGAAGAAGGGTTGATATAGTTGCTATATTTAAACAGCTGGAGAAGAAGGGTTGATATAGTTGATATATTTAAACAGCTGGAGAAGAAGGGTTGATATAGTTGATATATTTAAACAGCTAGAGAAGAAGGGTTGATATAGTTGATATATTTAAACAGCTGGAGAAGAAGGGTTGATATAGTTGATATATCTGAACAGCTGGGAGGGAAGGGTTGATATAGTTGATATATCTGAACAGCTGGAGAAGAAGGGTTGATAAAGTCGATATATTTAAACAGCTGGAGAAGAAGGGTTGATCTAGTTGATATATTTAAACAGCACGAGAAGAAGGATTGATATAGTTGATATATCTGAACAGCTGGGGAAGAAGGGTTGATATAGTTGATATATTTAAACAGCACGAGAAGAAGGGTTGATATAGTTGATATATCTGAACAGCTGGGGAAGAAGGGTTGATATAGTTGATATATCTGAACAGCTGGAGAAGAATGGTTGATAAAGTTGATATATTTAAACAGCTGGAGAAGAAGGATTGATATAGTTGATATATATTAACAGCTGGGGAAGAAGGGTTGATATAGTTGATATATTTAAACAGCTGGAGAAGAAGGGTTGATATAATTGATATATTTGAACAGCTGGAGAAGAAGGGTTGATATAGTTGATATATTTAAACAGCTGGAGAAGAAGGGTTGATATAATTGATATATTTAATCAGCTGCAGAAGAAGGATTGATATAGTTGATATATTTAAACAGCTGGAGAAGAAGGGTTGATATAGTTGATATATTTAAACAGCTGAAGAAGAAGGGTTGATATAGTTGATATATTTAAACAGCTGAAGAAGAAGGGTTGATATAGCTGATATATTTTTAAAAGCTGGAGAAGTATATAGTTGATATATTTATGTTATGTCTCCAGTGTGTGTCTGCGTGCGTGTGTATGTGTCACCAGTGTATGTTTGTGTGCGTGCGTGTGTATGTGTCACCAGTGTGTGTCTGTGTGCGTGCGTTTGTATGTGTCACCAGTGTGTGTCTGTGTGCGTGTGTATGTGTCACCAGTGTGTGTCTGTGTGCGTAAGTGTGTATGTGTCACCAGTGTGTGTCTGTGTGCGTGTGTATCTGTCCCCAGTGTGTGTTTGTGTGCATGTGGTGTATGTGTTACTAGTGTGTATGTGTGCGTGCGTGCGTGTGTACTTGTCACCAGTGTGTGTTTGTGTGCGAGTGTATGTGTCACCAGTGTGTGTTTGTGTGCATGTGGTGTATGTGTCACCAGTGTGTCACCAGTGTCTGTTTGTGTGTGTGTGTGTGTGTGTGTTTGTGTGCATGTGGTGTATGTGTCACCAGTGTGTGTTTGTGTGCATGTGGTGTATGTGTCACCAGTGTGTGTTTGTGTGCATGTGGTGTATGTGTCACCAGTGTGTGTTTGTGTGCATGTGGTGTATGTGTCACCAGTGTGTCTGTGTGTGTGCATGTGGTGTATGTGTCACCAGTGTGTGTGTTTGTGTGCATGTGGTGTATGTGTCACCAGTGTGTGTTTGTGTCCATGTGGTGTATGTGTCACCAGTGTGTGTGTTTGTGTGCATGTGGTGTATGTGTCACCAGTGTGTGTTTGTGTGCATGTGGTGTATGTGTCACCAGTGTGTGTGTGTGTGCATGTGGTGTATGTGTCACCAGTGTGTGTTTGTGTGCATGTGGTGTATGTGTCACCAGTGTCTGTTTGTGTGCATGTGGTGTATGTGTCACCAGTGTCTGTTTGTGTGCATGTGGTGTATGCGTCACCAGTGTGTGTTTGTGTGCATGTGGCGTATGTGTCACCAGTTTGTGTTTGTGTGCATGTGGTGTATGTGTCACCAGTGTGTTTTTTTTTGTGCATGTGGTGTATGTGTCACCAGTGTGTCTGTGTGCGTGCATGTGGTGTATGTGTCACCAGTGTGTCTGTGTGCGTGCATGTGGTGTATGTGTCACCAGTGTCTGTTTGTGTGCATGTGGCGTATGTGTCACCAGTGTGTGTTTGTGTGCATGTGGTGTATGTGTCACCAGTGTGTGTGTTTGTGTGCATGTGGTGTATGCGTCACCAGTGTGTGTTTGTGTGCATGTGGTGTATGTGTCACCAGTCTGTGTGTTTGTGTGCATGTGGTGTATGTGTCACCAGTGAGGTGAGGTGAAATTGGGTTTAACATCGCGTCCAAGATTATTGCACTTATATAGCGACGTGCATGCATGTGTATGTGTGTGTGTGGCTGCTTGTACTAGTCCGGACTGATGCCGATTTATAGTGCTAGCTCACTGAGATACCATGCCGCAGTTTAACATGAATACCCCACTCAGACACAGTATACTGACTGCGAGCCGACCAGTCCTTGTTTTAGCCCCTTAATGCCGAGCGCCAGACAGGGTAACAACAAGTACAATCTTTTAACGTCTTTTTGTATGACGCGGCCCGGGATCGAACCCTGGACCTTCCGCTCTCCGGGCGGACGGTCTACCACAAGACCACGGAGGCGGTCTATGTGTCACCAGTGTGTGTTTGTGTGCATGTGGTGTATGTGTCACCAGTGTGTGTTTGTGTGCATGTGGTGTATGTGTCACCAGTGTGTGTTTGTGTGCATGTGGTGTATGTGTCACCAGTGTGTGTTTGTGTGCATGTGGTGTATGTGTCACCAGTGTGTGTCTGTGTGCGTGTGTATGTGTCACCATTGTGTGTTGCTGTGCATGTGGTGTATGTGTCACCAGTGTGTGTGTGTGTGCATGTGGTGTATGTGTCACCAGTGTGTGTTTGTGTGCATGTGGTGTATGTGTCACCAGTGTGTGTCTGTGTGCATGTGGTGTATGTGTCACCAGTGTGTGTTGTTGTGTATGTGGTGTATGTGTCTCTGTGTGTGTGTTTGTGTGCATGTGGTGTATGTGTCACCAGTGTGTGTTTGTGTGTGTCTGTGCGTGTGTGTGTGTGTTTGTGTGCATGTGGTGTATGTGTCACCAGTGTGTGTGTGTGTGCATGTGGTGTATGTGTCTCCAGTGTGTGTTTGTGTGCATGTGGTGTATGTGTCACCAGTGTGTGTGTTTCTGTGCATGTGGTGTATGTGTCACCAGTGTGTGTTGTTGTGTATGTGGTGTATGTGTCTCTGTGTGTGTGTTTGTGTGCATGTGGTGTATGTGTCACCAGTGTGTGTTTGTGTGTGTCTGTGCGTGTGTGTGTGTGTTTGTGTGCATGTGGTGTATGTGTCACCAGTGTGTGTGTGTGTGCATGTGGTGTATGTGTCACCAGTGTGTGTTTGTGTGCATGTGGTGTATGTGTCACCAGTGTGTGTTTGTGTGCATGTGGTGTATGTGTCACCAGTGTGTGTTTGTGTGCATGTGGTGTATGTGTCACCAGTGTGTCTGTGTGTGTGCATGTGGTGTATGTGTCACCAGTGTGTGTGTTTGTGTGCATGTGGTGTATGTGTCACCAGTGTGTGTCTGTGTGCGTGCATGTGGTGTATGTGTCACCAGTGTGTGTTTGTGTGCATGTGGTGTATGTGTCACCAGTGTGTGTGTGTGTCCATGTGGTGTATGTGTCACCAGTGTGTGTTTGTGTGCATGTGGTGTATGTGTCACCAGTGTGTGTTTGTGTGCATGTGGTGTATGTGTCACCAGTGTGTGTTTGTGTGCATGTGGTGTATGTGTCACCAGTGTGTGTTTGTGTGCATGTGGTCTATGTGTCACCAGTGTGTGTTTGTGTGCATGTGGTGTATGTGTCACCAGTGTGTGTTTGTGTGCATGTGGTGTATGTGTCACCAGTGTGTGTTTGTGTGCATGTGGTGTATGTGTCACCAGTGTGTGTGTTTGTGTGCATGTGGTGTATGTGTCACCAGTGTGTGTTTGTGTGCATGTGGTGTATGTGTCACCAGTGTGTGTTTGTGTGCATGTGGTGTATGTGTCACCAGTGTGTGTCTGTGTGGATGTGGTGTATGTGTCACCAGTGTTTGTCTGTGTGAATGTGGTGTATGTGTCACCAGTGTGTGTTTGTGTGCATGTGGTGTATGTGTCGCCAGTGTGTGTTTGTGTGCATGTGGTGTATGTGTCACCAGTGTGTGTTTGTGTGCATGTGGTGTATGTGTCACCAGTGTGTGTGTGTGTCCATGTGGTGTATGTGTCACCAGTGTGTGTTTGTGTGCATGTGGTGTATGTGTCACCAGTGTGTGTCTGTGTGGATGTGGTGTATGTGTCACCAGTGTTTGTCTGTGTGAATGTGGTGTATGTGTCACCAGTGTGTGTTTGTGTGCATGTGGTGTATGTGTCGCCAGTG